TCTTTATTTATTACTTATTTGTCCGCTTGAAATTAAATTATAAAAAAATTATATGGCCTAGCCTATGTTACTCACTGATAACGTAGCTTTTTAATGGTGAAACAATTCTTGAAATCCGCCTAGTAGCTTTTGAGTTGTTTGACTACATACAAAATACAAAAATACAAATCTTTCCTCTTTATAACATTAGTAAATAAGTGTAGATTACGTTCGTCCCTATTTTCAACCTTTACAGGATAAATTTGAAGGAAGAACTTAGTAGTAATCTACGTAATAACAGAAATCTACAAGCAAGTATATTAGTTATTTATATTGGTATTTACATTTATGGCAGACGTGGAGGATGCTGTGTGCGCGGTGACCAGCGCGCAGTATCTGTCGCCATCGGGCTGGCTCGCCCTCAGAGACCTGGTGGACAACGACGTGCCCTTCGCTCTCTACAGGGACGAGGGCAGCACGTACCTGCAGGTCAGCTCACAATTAACACAATGTAACGGATAAAATCTTACTGATATTATAAATGCGACAGTTTAGATGGATGTTTGTTAGAGTTTGTAGCCTAAACAGCTGAACGGATCTCCATAAACTTCGGCACAGATGTATAGCATAGTCTGGATGTAGAACACATAGGCTAATTTTTATCCCGGAAATAAAATAGTTACGATTCGTTAATAAAATTATAAATGCAATTTTAGAGGACTGTACAAAGTAGTGACTATTATATGACGGATACTTTACGATTCTCGAATGGCATAGGATTGTTTATTTTTTTATTTATGATTATGAATCGGACTAATTTTTTATTTCGATTTATTGTCATTTTTAGGCTAATTACCCTGTTTATTAATCACAGTCACATCTCTTAGTAGCTATTTAGTTTATTATCTTAAAACAGCCTTTGATTTGAAATAAGTAGTTAAGTTGGTTTTAATTTTTGTAATTTTATTTAAAAGGAGGATATTTAAATTAAATGTTTATATTACGGCCACAATTAGAACATGGTCGGACATTTTATTTTAAATTGTCGATCGCTACAACAGCCACCCAAGAAGATTTTTATAATTTTCCGATAATTTGGTTATCAGCGTCCAATGTTTATCGAAATTCGGTAATTCTTTTCACATATTTATTGATCGTTCTGGTCCAGAGAATAGGTAATTAAATTGTAATAATATAAAAGATGGTAATACGGAACGTTAAAGAGATCTTTATCGGCGAGCGCCACATCCAGTTGCTGTTAATTACGTGGATGTATAATCCACTGGAAAGGACACAGTAAAAAAATCACTATTACACATAATGTGATAAATTTAACTATACTTAGATTATCATCACAAAACTATTTAATTTTATTACGAAAAAAAAAATTACGTTAATGACTATGTTAAAGTAATGAAATTTGTCCAGAACCGAATTTAAGAACATTTGTTTTCTGTTAAATATACCATATATTCAAGACCAATTTTATAGAACACGTCAATTCTATAAACAGCAATGTTCAAATACATCCTTAAATGGCGAATTCGAAACCTTTGCTTATTAAATACGTTAACTTTCATTTCGTCATGACAAAGACGTTGGTCGTCAGCTATCAATCTAATAGATTGATGTGGACAGTTCAATAAGACACATCTAGTGGTACAGCATTTATTTACATCTGTGATCAACTATGCCATATCCAAAAGTGGACACGATGTGCCTCGTAAAATTTATTTCGGTTTAGCATGAATGCGGAATTATTGTAATAAATTGTTAATGCAAATATTAAGTATTACTACGGCACAATCTCCCCTTAGACTATGCTTGCACAGGTGGGCTTAATATTGTAAACTAGGAGGTAATGAATGATACGAGTATAATGGTACTCACTAGCTCGATGCCCGTTTCACCGCCTGTAGGTGGCTAGTTTCCTTCGGTGTCAATCGTGTCAAGTATAGTCAGTCAAGTCTATAGGCGCAAGCATCTGCCTGCAGATGTACCCGTGGACACTGTAATTGTTCCAAACGCGAAACCGTAATTCCAACGACCCCGTTCTTTAACCAAAATTGACACGCCTGTCGTGTTTGTCGCGATATCGGACAAGCGACCACTTCCGATGACCTTTGAACTCCCACTTATGAAACGACACGACTCTTTCGTGCACACCTCTCCGCAGGCCCCGCGCACTAGAGGTATTCGAATCTACCCACTAGTG